CTTCAAATACAGTGGTATTTTTCATAATGTTGTAGAGATGCCTTCACACGACATTAACACCTCGTGCAGCTGCGGTTGTACAGTAAGCTATTATCATTGGTCCAATTCGAACCGGATAATGAACAGTTCGACCATCGAATCCAGAAGTGTCCGCCATAATATCGAAGTATGTGTGCATCATTGATCATTGTTCTCGCTAAAATATGTTCTCATAACATGAGATTTGCAGTTTAATTCAAAGATGAACTATTGTGCACCTGTAGCACTCCTCGCTGTCATTAAAACATAGCATGCCACAGGAAAAGTGATCAAACGCATCCACTACAAACATGTCTAAAGTCATATAATTTTGGTTTAACTTATGCGTAATGACTTTATGCAGCCTAATTTCCGTGTTTTTATCCATTAACACTAGAAACCGCCACGGGGTAAATTTTACCCGTGGCTGTTTTTAAAACGTAGAGAAAAGATTTTTAATAAAACATTCAAGTCTCCCAGTCACTGACTTTTACTAAAACTGTGTGATTTACAATCCCCTGTTGTTAAAAACTGTTTAGATAAAACCCGATTAAAAAACGGGGCATTTATACGTATAAGTGCCAGCGGGTCAAATTGACCCGCTATATAATGCCTGTATGTTCGCGCTGTGATTTTCGTGCCGCTTATGTTTTAACATAGTACATTGCTAGGCAACACCTTTCACTCACTGAATTAGCGGTTATCAGTTTCATAAATAAAGACAAAATGTGTAAAAGAAGGCGATTTATGAATGCTGCAGAGGTATGAGAAGCACTAAATGCCATGAGCGGAGAGTCTGATGGTGGGGAGATAAGTAAAGCGTCCTGGGTCGGCTCAGCATCTGACGGCGATCAATAGCCTATATCATATTTAGGCGTTTTATCCTAATGTTACTCATAATTGTTCAAAATTTGGATTAATTATTTAATTTTTGATTTGCCATTTCTATCTTTTATTGTTCGCTTCTGTGGTGCTATTTAGTCTGCCCGTTTCCTGAATAAAAAATAAATAAATACAATCTTTGATCTAATGAATAAAACTAAAAAAATATTGGTTTTGTTTTCTCATTCAAATTATAAATGATAGAACTAAACAAATTAATAATTAATTTGGTGAAGGCGTGTGCTTGAATTTGTCATCGCATCATGCAGTGTGGTGAATTATTATTGCTCATTATTGTCTATAGGCTATTTTAGTAATTTAAATAACATAGGCTATCCTAATATATTAATAACATTGTATTATAATAGCTGTATTTACTTCCTTCTAATTCTAGTTGTCAGCGCAGGCTTGCTTAATATTGACCGTTATGAAAAGTGACTAGTGTAGCATAAAAAGGCCTTGAACATAAAACAACAGGACAAAAATATAGTTGATGACTAGACATAATCATTGCATGACTCTAGACACTTCTTTGTGAAGACAGTGGCATAATACAGTGAAATAATATGTTATTTAGCCATGTAAAAACAGCTGTCATGTGTGTGGGTAAAATTTACCCGCTGGCGGTTTTAGTGTTAATTACATTTGTTTATTAACTTTTATACATTATTTTATTATTTTAAGCATAATACTTTTTAAGGTCATTAGATTTAGACATATTAAAGAACATATGTAATATGTTATTAAATATAACGTATTATAAAATAATATTTTTTTAATTTATTAAACTTAATATATTATTACATTTTAATGTATGTATAACATATTTTAAAATGTAATTTAATACCGTGATGCAAAGCTAATTTTCATCTGATAACTGCAGTCTCTTTAGTGTCACTTGATCCTTCAGAAATCATTCTAATATATTGATCTGATCCTCAAGAAACATTTCTTATTATTATCTCTCACGTTGCACACACACGAGGGACGAGGAGACGCTGGAGAATATGTTACCAAGACTTTATTTACAGGAACCAAGGGAGACGAACTCAGGAAGGCGTTTACAGGACTTTATTACCACCAAGGAACCAAGGGAGACGAACACAGGAAGACGTTCACACGAAGACGTTCACAGCGGACGGAGAACTTGGGACTGGGAACACTTTTTATACACACACGAGGAGGAGGGGATGACGAGACACACCTGGGA